TATATTTACTTTTAATTATCATTTCAACATGTTCTAATCAAATATTTTCATCTTTCATATTTCTTTGCAGCCACAGCGTCTACCAAAATACAACAAATATGCAACAACAGCCATAAAAGTTTCTATGAAATATACAAACCACAAATCATAGTGCGAAATCCAACACATTATATACACACACATATGTATTTATTCATGTATAAGTAACTAGAAAAAGAAAAAAGGAATTGTTTCCATGTGCAAATTAAATAAATCCATAAGTGAGTGCAAAAGTACTTTTCAATTGCCAAGCTAAATAACATAGAATATTTATTATTGCCGACACGCTTGCTTTAATTTATTGATTAGCAAATTTTAATAGGCGAAGAGGGCGCGCGGAAGCGCAAGCAAACGGAATAGCGCAACAATTTCTTCGCACAAAGGCAAACAAACCTCGTGCGAGCAAACAAAACGCCGGCAAAGCAATCAAACAAGAATCAACAAACCCCAACAATAAATGAATTTGTGCAGCAAGTGCAAAAGCAAAACGCGTCGGAGGGAGTGAGAGGCAAACACCTAAGCGCCAGAGGTCATTTCAATTGGCGTTTGATTTACACGTTCGCGAAATTCCACAAAAATTCAATAAGAATCATATTTTCGCGCGATCAAGTAGTGTCTTAGTGCTGACACTAAAGTGGAAAGTGTGCGTCGGAGTGTGCTAGTGTAAAGTGCAAGAACGTTTTACCACAGCTAAATTAACAAATAAAAGATATTAAATAAAAAATTAAAAATTATTGATATCAGTGTTTAGAGACAATTTTGAAATTGTCTACAATTAATTTTGAGCTTTTGCTCTTCTACAAACTAATCGTTATTTGTTAATTAAACGACAGTGTATTTAAATCACTAAATATGGCAACACTGAAAGCTGCTTATCACATTACTTGTCTGCTTTTGGCCCTCTTGGTGCTGGAAGTGAAATGCAGTGAATCAGCAGGTGAGTGTTAGATATAAGGAAATTATCTTTAGTGACATACAAAAACAATAAGAAAATAGTAACCGAGTTATAAAAATTCAAAAAGAAAAAGAAACAAATAAAACAAGTGGAAGGATGCAGAAACCTTATATTAAAAAAATATACCTGTATACAAATTAAAAAAAAAAAACAAGTTATTTCAAGTTGTTGAAACTCAAATGCACCGAATTTAAAAAATTTTTTTTTTTTAATATTTAAGTAAACCCTTGCTTTAATCCATTTATTGAAGTAATATTTTTTTTAATATTATATATAGAATTAGTAGTTTTGAGGAAGTTTAAAAAATATAAAAGTTTTAGAACAAAATTAAAAATTTAATACACTGAAAATATTTCGAAACAACGTCTTTTTTAATTACCTATAATATTGGAAAATGGATTTCAATACGTTGCAAAATGAAATCAAAAAAAAATTTAATTTTAATTTTTGGAAAGTTAAAAAAATTGAAGAAAACTCAAACCGAGAGAGTAGTAAAGGAAATATTTTTCAAATTAAAAAGATCTCTGAAAAATTATAAATAATATTATAATGGTAAAATACTAATATTTGTTTTTTGAAATTCTTTAAGAATAAATTTTGTAAAACCAAAATCTTTTTTTATTTTTTTAAATATGGTTCGACAAAAAAATGTAATTAATATTCCCCCAAAAAAAATACATTTTATTATTTTTATAATAA